TTGCCGGTCACGAAAAAAAAGACAAGAAGGAAAAAAAAAAAAATAGAATAATGAATCAAGAGCATATAAAACATATATATTACTAAATAAATTATGGCATTTCTTTTTGCCGGTCACGGAAAAAAAGACAAGAAGGAAAAAAAAAAAAAAAGAATAATGAATCAAGAGCATATAAAACATATATATTACTAAATAAATTATGGCATTTCTTTTTAGGAAGTTCAGGTTTGTTTTTTTTATTTAAATTGTGGTAAAATACAAAAATCTTTTTTAAAAAAAAGTGCATGGAAAGATTCATATAATCTTTTAATTCTATTTTTCCACAAACTTATTTTTCTTTTTCTTGCAACTGGCAGTACAGGGATCTGAACCCTTGACCTTGGTGTTATTAACATTTTTCCACAAAGGGACTCTTGTGCACGTAACATTTACCATCTCAACCTATTTAGTACATTTGCGTTGTTGTACGACCATCACTACCAACCGTCTCTAACTCTACATCTTGCAAAACTGAAACTCTATATGCATTAAATAAAAGCTCCCCATTGCTCACCCCGTCCCCCAGCCCCTGGCAACCACCATTCTACTTTCTGTCTCTATGAATTTGACTATGCTCAGTGCGTCATGTAGGTGAAATCATACGGTATTTGTCCTTTTGTGCCTGGCTTATTACACTTAGCATAATGTCTTCAAAGAGCATCCATATTGCAGCATGTGTTAGAATTTCCTTCCTTTTTAAGGCTGAATAGTATTCCCTTGTATTTATATACCACGTTTTGTTTATCCATTCAGTCATTGGGCACTTGGGCTGCTTCCACTTTTTAGCTACTGTGAGTAATGCTGCTGTGAACATGGATGTAAAAATCAGTGGTAGTAATTTTGACAGAACTTTATAAAAAATTTTATTTTCTCTAGGTGGTTGGTTCTAGCTATTGCCATGGTACGTTTTTATATGGAAAAAGGAACACACAGAGGTTTATATAAAAGTATTCAGAAGACACTTAAATTTTTCCAGACATTTGCCTTGCTTGAGGTAAGTTTTCTTTATCATTTGTCTGTTGTTGTCGTATTTATGTGAAAATTTTTTGTTGAGTAAAATCTTATTTTGCTGTTTACATACCACCTATGGATTTGTTTAATACCATTGTTGACAGGATTTATTTTATATTTTGTATTATTGACTTGTGGTTTTTTTTTTTTTTTTTTTTTTTTTTTTTTTTTTTTTTTTTGTATTTGCTTACAGATAGTCCACTGTTTAATTGGTGAGTTTTTGGTTTAATTTTACATTTTTATTATAAGTTGCCTGTAGGGCAATAGTTGACTTGTTTTTCTGTTTAAGGAATTGTTCCTACTTCTGTGCTTGTGACTGGGGTCCAAGTGATTTCAAGAATCTTTATGGTGTGGCTCATTACTCACAGTATAAAACCAGTAAGTGATGCAAACATGTTATCTACTTGACCCTGCAAGAAAGCTTTGCATTAATAGGAATCTATAGTGTTAATATTCATATATTTCAGGAAACAGAACCATTGGACAAAAAAGGAGTTGGGTTTAGATTTTTATGTTGATTTAGTGCTTTGGTAGAAGGAAACACAAGCAAAACCAAATATTGGCATTTTATATCTGTAATATAATCTCTTCTGATATTTTCTGGTTTCTAAAATTAATACTCATATTGTCAAATAATTAACTGAAAATCTTATTTTCTATAGAAGTTTCTTTTCTATCAAAGTTATTCTCTGATTATGTGATTGAAGTTGTCAATATAAACAGTTTATTTTCCCTCATTTAGCATTGAGCAATAGACATGAAAGGTAAATGTAGTTTTGTAGACCTGAACAAGTGGAAACGACTAAATCAAAAGTTAAAAGGGGTAACACGAAAATCAACTACATTGTATATTGATTTTTAAAAAGTTAAAAGGGGTCAAAGTATACAAAATTTCATTTAGACAGGAGGAATAAGTTTAAGAGATCTTTTGTGCAACATGGTAACTATAGTTAGTAACAAATGTATACTTGACAATTCCTAAGAAAGTAGATATTAAGTGTTGTTACTACAAATAAATATGAGATAATGCATTAAACAATTAGCTTGATTTAGCCATTCCACAATGTATGTGTATTTCAAACATCATGTTGCACACCATAAATATATAATATTTTAATTTGTCAATTAAAAAATAATTTTAAAAAAGTTAGGGCTAAGGAACTTAGGGAAAAATAAGCATATTATTTATTGAGGCATGACAAGAGACAGACCTAATTATTGACTCTAATTCATGGCTTAAATCTCTTAGACAAGACAAACACCATGCTGACTGTGTCAAGATGTTGGACCCATGACAGAAACATTTCCCAGCTCCACCCTTCTGACCTTCTTGACAGCCTTTGTAGTCCTCTATGTACTTGCCGACAGATCTCTGGCCTCCTTTCCATTCCTCAGATGCCTTTCTTGTCTCCTCTCTGCTTGGGGACTGAGACTTAAACTCTTCTCCGTTTCTTCTTAGCCTCACTGGACTCCTGTCTGCGTGAGGACAGATCGCTGACCTTCTGCCCTTTTACTATACACATCAGCCCTCTTGACTAGTGTCTTTCACTCAACTTACTTAATCCGCCTGGTTTGTAACCAGTGACTGCCATACAAATATAGCAATGAGCACGTGCCACACAGAGAGCTACACTTTTTATTAATTAAGATTGCCTACTACGTTAAAAGCAGAAGCACAACATTCATAGAATAAAAGCAAGACTATTCCAGGCAGTGAATGACTATAACAGCTGGGTAGGACCAAAAAGAGTCTGAAGAACGAAGAAGAAAATCAAAGACAGGGTGGCCAACATTAACTAGAGAGAAGTTAAAGAGAGAAAAGGATCCACCTGTTCATTTTATCCTTCAGAAGATCTCTGCCTTAATATTACTGTTTATTTTTCCCCAACAATAGTTTCCCATTGGCACCTATTCATCTCTGCTTAATTAATTTAACCAGCATTTACTGAATGCATTCTGTACACCTGGCACTATGTTAATTTCTGGATTTACAAAAATGAATAAGGCACTTCCAGCTGTCAAGTGTACTGGCTATTGGGAAGTGGGGGAGTCATAACAAATGTTGATCATGCAGCAGATACTAACTGTGCACCTGTTCTGTCCAGACACTGTGCTGGCGATATGGCTGTTTACACACATGGTTCCCTCTTTGTTGAGCCTGTAATTGGGAGAGAAGCTAACAAGTAGTTACACAAATGCTTGTTTAATAATATTAGTGTTAAATGCTTTGAAACAATGGTCCACTATGCATTGCAGTATATCTAGGGACTTACTCTGATACAGGGAGTGAGAAAGACTTCCCTGAGGAAGGGATATATGCTGCTGACAGAGGTACAAGAGTTATCTAGACACATTTTAATACCAGTTGGCAAGTGTTATAATATAGATTTGAACAAAGTTACTGTGAGAAAAGGAAGGTTAGCAAATAACTGCTCAGGGTGAGAAGTGAGGTTTGGGAAAAGTTTTCCAAAGGGCATAATATTTTAGCTGGATCTTAAAAGATGTGCAAGCGTTTTCTATAGGAAGCAACAAGGAAGTAACATTCTAATTAGAGGAAATAGCATATGTAGAGCCGCAAAGTTCAGAGCATATTCCAGAAATAACACAGTTTAGTGTTACCAGAGAGAGAAGTAGGTAGGAGGCCTGAGTGATTTTAAATGAAGTTGGAGAGATTTCTGAGCTTGGACTGTAAAAACCTTGAATATCATGCCCACGTGTTAGGATTTATCCTTTTATCCTGTTAAGCAATGGGGCACCAGGGAAACTTTCAAATCATAGAACGTAGCTGATTCCAATTTGTGTTTTGTTTGCTTCTTTGTTTTGTTTTAAGAGAAAACGTTCATTTATAAGGAGAACAAAGACAGGAGAGACTATTTAGGAAACTGTTACAGTAGTCCAGATGAGAAATGAGAAGTCCCTGAATTAAAATAATGGAAATAGGGACAAAGACAAGTGGACAGATTCATTAGAACCTTTCAGTAGAGCTGGTATGATTCAATCACTCATAGAAAGTAGGAGGGTCAGATTGTTCACATCCTGGTTTCAGGGAGGTGATGTCCTGGAATGGTGGAGTTATTGGCTTGAATAAAGGATATGTTCCTGTGCACAGGACATATTTAAGTTTCATGTTTATAATTAATTATATAATGTTGACAGTATTAAGTTTTCTGTATTGCATTTGTCTAACCCATTATAATAAAAGATAATTAAAATAAATATCTTGGTTGAAAAATAAGTTCAAGGTTGAACGACACTGTGGATTTCTCTGTAATTCTGCAGATCCAGAATGAGGAGAGTGTGGTGCTTTTTCTGGTCGCGTGGACTGTGACAGAGATCACTCGATATTCCTTCTACACATTCAGTCTTCTTGACCACTTACCATACTTCATTAAATGGGCCAGGTGGCTATGTCTTGCAGTTTAGTTCCTCACTGTCCTGTGCATGCTTACTTTGTGTGCTGAGCTAACACCAGAGAACTGAAATTTTTGTTTTAGCTCCATGATGCCAGAATGCTGCTGTTTGGGGTATTAGCAGCATTGTAACTTGTATTCTAAAAGCTTAATGATGAGAGATGAATCATTAATATATATTTTGAGTGAAATTGATGCTAGCCAAATTATATTAGAATTCTTTAATAACCTTATATTAGTATTCTTAAATATTCAGTCTAACATCCACAATCTTTAGTGTTTTTTATATACTTTTTTTTTTAAGTAGCAGAGACAGACATTTGAAAAAGTCACACTTACTTGAAATTGTGTTATTTGGAATGTGGACAAAATTTATATTGCAAGGATTCCAAATATAAAGCAACAGTTTTTAACATTCTTTTTTTTTTCTTCTGGCAGCTGGCTGCTACAGGGTTCCGAACCCTTGATCTTGGTCTTATAAGAAAACAACAGTTTTTTTTTTTTTTTCCTTTTTGTCTTTTTTTGTGTCCGGCAACGGATCGCAACCCTCGGTGTCGCGCCCGTACCGGACCGGGACCGGCAACGGGATCGCAACCCTCGGTGTCGCGCCCGCACCTTGCTCAGCCAGTGAGCAGGAACTGGTCTGTATGTGGGATCCGAACCCTCGGCAGGAGCGCCGCTGCGCTCCCAAGCGGCGCACTGTAGCAGTGTGCCACCGGGCCGGCCCGAAAACAACAGTTTTTAAAGAAAAAAATGTCCTATATTTTTTTGAAGTTTGAATTCTTTGAGTAACTGGTATTTTATCAAGTTATTATAAAAACAAAACTGGTTTTTGGAGAATGAATCACAAGCCAGTATAAATTTGTTTACTCTGTTCTCTATATTGTATTTATAGTAACAGTAACAATATTAACAGTGACAAATGGCAAATGTTGTGTGCCTAGTGCACACCTGCGATGGAGGTGTGAACAAAACAAAGTTCTGTCCTCTCAAGACAAAGACAAAAAATAGAAAAAAAAATTAATAGGTATGTGATATGTCAGGTGGCAATAAGTACAAGATGTATATTCCATATATGCAGGATAAAATGGTTAAATTTATTTTCATTATGAAAATTTCTTGTTATACTACAGAAGTAATACATTTTCATCGTAAAATGTTCAAACAGTACAGAATAAACATGGAAAGTTCATGTTTGTACTCCTACCCACCTACTCCCTTCCTCTGGAGGGAAAAACAGTTTGAAGTTTACCCATCTAGACTTTTTCATATTAACAAAGATGTAAAAACACAGATGTGAATTTTTAAAACATAGATAGGATGATGCTTTTTGTTTCTGTCTTGGGGCTCTAATCAGTACAGGCACATTTCAGTCTAGCTCTTTAACGCTAATGCTGTATAATATTCCATATTATGATTGACCTATTGCTAGAACTTAGATCATTTCCAGCCTTCTAATATTATAAATAATGCTTTTAGAGATTATAAAGAGTGCTATATATATCTATATTTCTATTATTTCTAAAAACTCTGATATTTGGTAATATTCTTATTTTGTTAGAGGATAATCCTTAGCTAGTGTTAGATTGCCACATATTAAAAGCCCAACACTTATTCTTAAGTGATTACTTCTTTTTTATACCTCTTGTATTATATGTGTTCAAATACAATAAATTAGCATATGTAAATAGAAGGAAAAAAAGAAGGAAAAAACTTTTAAATTACCTATAATCCCATTAAATAAAGATATCACTCTTGTGTTATATATTCTTTCAGACTTTTAAAAATGTTCTCTAGCTGTTTTTTAAGCATTTTGTGATTTACCATTTTGTATATAATAAAATGCTTTAAAATTATAAATGGAGCTTAAATATATTGTCCGTCAGAAGAAGGTCACATTACCATTTGTAGGTGTTTGGTTTTATTCTTATTGTACATGAAAATGTATTCACTTTTAGTGATTGGGACTTTTAGAAGGTTGGTAGTTTTGAAGGTGGGGGACTGTAATACTAGAATACATATCAATACTATTTTGCATGACAGTTCTGGACCTCTGGTGCCTTTACATGTATTAATTTATGGTATAGTCTCTTTTCATGTGCTGTATTTACAAAATTCATTTGAAGAAAACAGAGGCACATTGCCCATCTTGTGTAGGTCAGGCACATTGTTTTTTAATGCTTTGTCCGTCTGCCTTGTGGAATGCATTTGCATGTCTTGAGTTTCTGGAAATTTCCAAAACTCTGCCGTTGCATGTTTAAATTTGCTGTTTAGAAAACATTTGTCAATTACCTTAATGTTAAGCAAGGTATTATAAAATCTTTTAACTTTTTTTTTTTTTTAAAGATGACCAGTAAGGGGATCTTAACCCTTGGCTTGGTGTTGTCAGCACCACGCTCAGCCAGTGAGCGAACCGGCTATCCCTATATAGGATCTGAACCTATGGCCTTGGTGTTATCAGCACGGCACTCTCCTGAGTGAGCCATGGGCCAGCCCTAAAATCTTTCAACTTTGAAATGCATATGTTAGCATAATATATCATGTCAGTTAATCATAATCATGAATAATTATCTTTCATGTCAAAAACATTTTAAAAATCCCAACCATCTAAATACTTGTACATTTGGCAACCCCATTAAATAACCTAAAATATTTATATTTATGTCCAAGTGTTGAAGCTATTGTTCTCAAATAAAACTCTTCTTTAGAAATGGTGTCTTATGGGCCGGCCCCGTGGCGCACTCGGGAGAGTGCGGCACTGGGAGCACGGTGACGCTCCCGCCGTGGGTTCGGATCCTATATAGGGATGGCTGGTGTGCTCACTGGCTGAGCACGTGCACTCGGGAGAGTGCGGCGCTGGGAGCACGGTGACGCTCCCGCTGTGGGTTCGGATCCTATATAGGGATGGCTGGTGTGCTCACTGGCTGAGCGCGGTGCGGGCGACACCAAGCCAAGGGTTGCGATCCCCTTACCAGTCACAGAAAAGACAAAAAAAAAAAAAAAGAAATAGTGTCTTATAAATAGTTTGGCCTGCTGTCATGGTTTGAGTATACTTTTATTCTACTTGTGTGTTAGAAGTGTTCCTTTAAAAAAAGTCTACAGAATACATAATTATATATTGAGTTATATGTTGATATTGATTTCTAGTTTAATTTAAAAAATGCATTTCTCCCCCCAAAATTTTTGGTGACAATTGGGAATTCAAGGAAGTGTTTTATCTTTTTCTGCATGTGCTCTGTAGATTATTAAACCTTCCATACTTCCCTTAGAACTTAGAGAGTTAGTGACATGCAATCTTTTTAAAGTGAAAGTAAAGTCAAATAAATTATATAATTGGTTCCCATTTCATTAGAAATTTTCACTGTCTTTAAGGCTGAAACTAGTTTATTCTAGAAATTTTGCATTTTTTTTATATTAAAGACCAGTGCGACCAAGAAGTCAGTTAAGAGCCACATAAAGTAATAAAATAAAAAATCTTAATAAATTTGTATATTTTATTTGAGAAGGGAATATAAAATGTTCATATAAAATGTTCATATAATGTGATTTTAAAAATTGATTTAGGAAATGATTAATTTAAATGAAACACAAATAACTACACAAGAATGGTAAGAAAGGGGATATATCCAAGGCAAGGACAGGATAAACAGGTACAGTAAAAGGATCATTCTTCTTTATTTTTAACACTTCATCTATTTTTGCAAATAATTCTGCCCTTCTCCCCCATCTCTTATTCTTGGATATTCGTGTCATACAGGAATAAGGTGATTTTTAAGTTGTCTCCAAACTTCTTTAATACTGACAAATTTGACTTTTCTTTACAGATATTTTTAATGCCAATAAGTGATTGAGTAAAATACAGTTTAATTTGATATCTTTTCTTTTTCTATCAAAATTTTGACCTTAATCTTTTGTGGTAACTGTTGTATAGTGACTGACTTGCATTCTTTAGGCTCTCCTTGTTGGAGACCAGTAAAACACAGGGTGTTCCCAAATTGGAGGCATGAACGATGCCTGGGGGACTCTGCATTTGAGACCTTGCCACAATCCAAATAAACAAATGGTGATTTTGGATTTTGAATAAAACTTCCTCATCTCTATTTTAAGCAAGCTAACTATTCCTTTAATGTGGGAATTCAGGAAGTAACTTACCTTACTTGTTTTGTTATGAAAGCAGTTTTAGACAATATACTCATTAGGAGTTACTGATGCTTTAGGTAGCACTATCAGTTTTCTGGAGTAGTAATTACTTTTAATTAGTAACCACAAAGAGTTTCCCAAATACCTCTTAAAAATAACTACTTTGTTAATTTCAAGGTTTAGATATAAAATAAGGATTGTAACTGGTGTTTTTAAGCACACCATTTGATCAATAAATGACTAGCTGCAGGGGAAAAAAATCAGTCAGTTATGATTCCATGCACCAGAGGAGTTACCTTTACAATACTTTTTTTTAAACTGCATGTATTAAATGTATAAAAGTGTTTCATTACTGTAAAATAAGTTGACTTCTTATTAAGAAGTCTTGCCATTTAAAATGGAAACTGCTGTTGGAAAAAAGGATGATAATAAATGATTAAAGAAGGAAAATTAGCCTTCTGATGTGAGGTTATTGTAAATATGTATGGGCAGGAAAATTATTAAGTTTAAATACAGTAAAAGCAAAAGAACTGTGATATAAAATCCAATAATTATATGAGAAAAATAATTTTCTGAATTTTTTCTTTCTCCAGATATAATTTTTTTATCATCTTATATCCTGTTGGCGTTGCTGGTGAACTTCTTACAATATACGCTGCCTTGCCATATGTGAAGAAAACAGGAATGTTTTCAATAAGACTTCCTAACAAATACAATGTCTCTTTTGACTACTATTATTTTCTTCTCATAACCATGGCCTCATACATACCATGTAAGTATATATTTATTAGTACTTCGATTTAGCATACAATTTGAAAGTTTTTGGAAAGATATCGTAAGCTAGTTAACTAAGCAAGGAGAAATAACTAGAAATAATTGCTTACAAATACATTAAAACTTCTGTTCTACCCTACATTTATGCATAATTTGGAATAATTAAAGGGGAAGTGAGTCAGAAGATTTTTTATTAACTGTGAGAATAAAGGTCAGTAAATTAATACACAAATGATTGCTTCCTCAAAATCATTTAAAATTAAGCTTAGTATGATTCATTTTTTAAAGAAAAACAAAAATAAATTATTGGTAAAGCATGAATCAGTAAACTATTTACAAACATTTCGAATTGTGTATCTGAATATAAACACATGGTCCAAGAAAATTTCAGATTATTTCTATTTATTTGTTGTGCACATTCTTGGAAGAATCATGAAGGAGTACTTTTTAGTCTTATTTGTGTTGCTCTATGTACTTGAAAATAATAAAGCTGCTTTTCTTAAGATATTTTGAATAATTCAGCCTCTTCACTAATTTCTTATCATATTTTAGCAGTTACAATGAATTGGTGAGGCCTTACTTCATTTACATGCCAACAGTGATACATTTTTAGGTAAAATTTTGATAGTCACTAGCAGGAAATATAACAGAAAATTTACAAGGTGGTTATTTGCCCTTCTCAATAAAATTAGAGACTGTGATGTCAGTGGGGAGGTGGGATGAGAAAAGGTTATAGAATCTAAAATCTACATTGATATGATGTAAAATACTTCATCTAAAGGGGATGAGCATAAAACTTGGCCAGCCTCTTGAGATCTCTGGTTTTGAAGCTTTCCCAAAATCCCAGGTGCTTAAGTGGTCAGAGAGTGTTTTTCTCCCTTTTCTACCATTTCAGCCTGATTCTGTGTCAGATTTTCTACCCAATCAAGTTCGCTCCTGAGATCACAGGATAGCTAAGGAGGATATACGTATATTATTTGTCATGCTCCTCGCTTTTCCCACTATCTATTTAATGGAAATGTGCCTTGAGCAGATCTAGAGCTCGCTTAGGTATCTGTCATATGGTTACAGGGTTAGGCACTGGGTTCCCCTCTTCCTTGCAACACTGAGGCATTTCACAGAAACCGAGGATGTGAAGGATCATGGTCTGAAGCTTCAAGCCAGTCACTTTTGACTGTGATTTTTAGGTGTCCTGGGAGATGTAGACTCTGGCCTGTAGCAGTCACACCTTCCCAGGTCACCAAGCTGACAATTACTGGGAGTCCCACTTGCCAGAGGACCAGTTAGCCGGGGGGATTCTTTCCCCTCTATTATCAATAGTAGTAGTGGTATCAACTACTTTCACTTGAGTAGTTACCAATGAGAGCATTACAGAAGAAAGAGGTTAGGTGACTTGCTTTAAAATCACTGATTTGGTAAAGTCAGGATTTGAACTCAGGCCCATACCTTCTACTAAACTACTCAGAATTTTATAGAAGTATTTAGATAATTGGTCAGTTAGCTTTAAGTATATATGATCTGAATTTATTTAGGCCCTTAGGTGTAATATGATGGTTATATTTATCAAGATGGGAGATACCTAAATTAGGAAAATAAAACCTGTTGTGCGTTTATGCTCTGTTTGAATTAAGTTCAAAAAATAAATGTTTACCCAAAATTGTCTAAGCAAGATATTCAAAGCTTGTTTTCGTGATTAGGTTCATTGGTTTGGTTATTCTGTTTACCATTTTCAGAGATATTTTTATATTTGTATTACTTATAGCTGATGTTCATTTATTCATTCACCAACATTTACACCATGATTTAAAGCATTAGGTCAGATTGGCTCAAAATATTCTCCAAATTTGACTGGATGAATGAGCATTTGTCCAGCTGACCTAATACATACATATTTATGTGTTTCAGTATAACAGACTGACTGCCCTGCACTCAGCCAAGAGGAGCTTCTGCTCTGGATCCATGTTAGAGGATCCTGTGCTGGCCCTTCACTGGTCACCCTTCCATACCGCACTTCACCCCCTTTTAGATCACATTCTGGAAAACTGGGACCATGGAATTTGCTGCCCAGATTGTCCTGAGTGTGCATCAAGGGCCTATATAGGCCTCTTCCTTGATCCATTGTCCTTAGGCTAACAATTGTCACCAGTGTGTGCAACCCCAAGATCACAGGATAGCCAAGGTGGCTGTCTGGGGGGGGTGTGGAGGAAGCTTGGAAGTGTGCACCAGAATAGCCACACACATTTGTGTGAGATCCGTCAAGGTACAGGGTTCAGCCAATAGAACAGAGAGAGGGAGAACAGGCAGGGCCAGCTTTCTTTGTGCTGGAATGTTCTGTCACAGTAAGTATTCCAAAGAGTTACGAGATTCTAAATTTAAACATGGTCTTCCAGGTCATTGTGAAGGTATATTTATTAAGCTATTTAAGTTTGCTAAAAAATAAAAATAAAAACAAAACAAAATTTCAACAGTTTACGGTGTTAAAATATTTAGGCATGTGATAGTGGGCCTCTTTTAGTATATTATCCCAGGCTTTTTAAATATTACAGGAGTAGCAGTGGTATATAATGTACTTACTTTCAAACCTTGCCACATTTAACAGGTTTCCAGTATACATAATATAAAGCAATAGCTTATCTTTCTTTGTTTTCTTTTTTCAATTAAGTGTTTCCACAACTCTATTTTCACATGTTACGTCAAAGAAGAAAGGTGCTTCATGGAGAGGTGATTGTAGAAAAGGATGATTAAAAGATCCCTACAAACAAGGTGCTTTTTCCAGAATAACCAAGATTACTTAAGTCCAAGTTTTAATAACAAGAATAAACAACTTCATGAAATATGATGGATTATATTGTTTCTTAAAATATAACTTGAATCATGGTATTTGCCAATATTTGTCTTCATATTGTGCCAGATCTTTTTTTTTTAATAAGAATTATGCAGATATTATCAACTCCTAGGTAGGTGTTGATCATTAAGAAAATAATTGGGTGTATTACTTTGGAAAAAAAGTTTACTAAATTTTTTTTACAACATATGCTCAAAGCTTTTTAAATCAATATTTAGAAATTAGTTTAATGATTAACAGTATGATACCTGCCAGTGTTATTTATGTGATATTTATAAATGAAAGTAAATGTAAAATTATAATAACTTGTTAATAAGGTGTTGGTATTTCTTGAACATACGATCTAATTGTTCGAGTTATAAGGCAGCATTTATGATTAATAACAGATTTTAGAAGCATGGACAAAATTTGCTGTGGTAAGACTTTGATGTAGATAAAGTAGAAGCATAAAAAAATATTCAAGTAGATGTCACAATTGGAAAATACTTTGAAAATATTTCTAGACTGTTGAAATTACTTATACCATTAAGTAAATTTATTTTGATTTGAATTAACCACTCAAGGACAACCTTTTCAACTGTAAGGATTTTAAGGAATTAGAAAGAAGGTAAGTATATTGTTTGCCCCACTGGTTAAAAAAAAAAAAAAAAAAAAAAAA